GCATTTATTTAAAGGTCTTCTGTTTTATTTCATAAATTTAAGGTGATTACTGTATCTTTGGACTTTTTTTGGTTATCTTTCTTATGGAAAAGTTTAATGGACATTAGACGAATAGATATTTAAATTTATTCAAAAACAGAATATATAAAAGCATTTAAATGAAATATTTTTTTTTTAAAATGGGATTTGTACGTATTTTGTATACAGAATATTCTTTTACAAGTGGACCTAATGCAAATAGGCAAGAACCGACAAAAAAAGAATCACACAAAGTAACACACACAAAAAAAGCGACGAACAAGAGAGATAGAGATATGAACAGTATCTTCTCCATTGACGATTTCTCCGATCCCTTTTGGGAAGCTCCTCCGTCTCTTACTCCGGACTCGACGAAGGTTGTTACGGCGGAGGAAGGTAGCCAGAGTCAACCGGAATGGACTTTCGAGATGTTTTTAGAGGAGTTTTCTTCGTCTGTGAGCTCGGAGCCAGTGGGTAACAACAACGCGATCGTCGGAGTTTCGTCGGCCCAATCACTTCCTTCTGTTTCGGGTCAGAATGATTTCGAAGACGACAGTCGATTTCGCCGAGACCGCGATTCGGGAAATTGGGATTGTTCTGCTCCGGTTCAGTCATCGACGGTGATTGTTGATTCCGATGATTACCGTCGTGTTCTTAAGAATAAGCTTGAGACTGAGTGTGCTACTGTTGTTGCTCTTAGGGTTTATCTTCTATTCCCCTATTCTTTTAGTTTATCTATATGTGTAATTTCGATTTCAGTTAGAAGAGAACTAAATCTCAAGCTATGATGTTCTCTCACAGGCTAAGTCTGTGAAGCCTGAAGATTCGAGTAGTTCTCTTGAAACCCAATTTCAACCAACTCAATCTAGTCCTCTTGCTCAAGGTAAGAGCCTTATCTTGTAAATTCCATTGTTGATCAAGCCAAGATAAACATGTGGATTCGATTCGTTTATCTATTCTCGTGTCTGCTATGAACGTTCTGTGTTTGTAAATTTTGATGCCAAGTTAAGGAATTCTACTGTAGAAATGGGAAATGGTTTTTTATAGAAGCATGAACCCTTTCAAGTCTCCTTGATGTACTTTTGTTGGATCATGCTCCTAGTTTTGTCTATCAAGTTTCAATCTTTTTGTGACTTTCTCCTTGGAACTAATCTGTTTTCTGGAAGACCAATAAGTTTGGGGTTGAGATGGACTAGTTCAATGTTAGGAATTTTACAAATTACAGTCTTTTAAACAGATTAATGTGGGAAATAATTATATCGGCGCTGCTATTTCACTTTCGGATATCTCCTTGAGTCTTACGCATAGTAAGTTTAATCGTGGTAGGTTCTTTGATGGCCACAGGGGAATTTGGTGTTTCTTCTTCATTACCGGCTGAGGTGAAAAAAACTGGTGTACCAATGAAGCAGGTTAACAGCGGATCATCAAGAGAAGATTCTGATGACGATGACCTTGATGAAGAGAATGAAACTACTGGTTCCTTGAATCCAGAGGACGCAAAAAAATCTAGAAGGTAATGATTTCTTATCTTCAACTTCTAGTCTTTTGATGTTGACCTTTACAGTGAAACAGTTTTTGGAACCTTCTTCTTCCTTTAATATCTGTAGAATGCTGTCAAATCGAGAGTCAGCTAGGAGGTCTAGAAGGAGAAAACAGGAGCAAACAAGTGATCTCGAAACACAGGTTTCGTATCTTACCCTCTCACAACCTTATTAATGTGTGACGCATGATATTAATAAGACCTCATTTCTATTTTGATAGGTTAATGAGCTAAAAGGTGAACATTCATCACTTCTGAAGCAACTTAGCAGCATGAATCATAAGTATGATGAAGCTGCTGTTGGCAATAGGATACTAAAAGCTGACATTGAGACATTAAGAGCTAAGGTAATGACTAATGAGACTTGAATATTCTTCCTCTCTTTTTTTTTCCTAACTACCTTTACGTTTTTATATATAAAGTTAATCATAGTGAATTCTGTGTTATGTTAAGGTGAAAATGGCGGAAGAAACCGTGAAGAGAGTAACAGGAATGAACCCGCTGCTTCTCGGGAGATCAAATGGACATAACAATAGCAACAGAATGCCGTTAACTGGTCACAACAGGATGGATTCTTCTTGCATTCCAGCTTTTCAACCACAATCAAACCTAAACCATTTGCCAAATCCCAACATCGGGATTCCAACCATTCTACCTTCAAGACTCGAAAACAGTTTCGTTCCTCCTCCATCCTTAAACTCTCAAACTAACTCGCAGTTGCAGAGAATAAGAAATGGGCAAAATCACCATGTTGCTCCAAGCGGTAACCCGTATGGCTGGACTGCTGAACTACAGAACGATTCAGCATGGTAAGCTAATAATGGCTCTTTTTAAGACTATTTAAGTTGTACAATCCATGTTTATGCATATCAGATTCTTGTTCCCCTTTTTTCGCTCATTTTACAGGCCGAAAAAATGCGTGGACTGATGAAACCGATGAAACAAGAAGCGGGTTTCGTGCTATGTTATTGATATCTGCATTTGTAAGTGTTATAAGTTATCATTAACCATGAGAATACAATTTGTGGAAACACAGTCTCATGGCCTTATACAGTCTGTCTTATAACATTATTACAAGATTCTTAATGAGAATCTTCTTTCTATTTATAGCTTTAATTACAGATTAGAGATCTGTTTTTATCCATTTAAAAAAAGAAAGATCAAATTATATCCCACATGACTTTACTAATTTCCTATCTCATTTAAATCCCGACAACCTCGGCGGTTTTCATGGTAGATCGAAGAAGCAACCACATTTTCTGTCCCAGGAAGAAAAAAAGAAACAGAGGAGAAAAAAAAAAGACGACGACAACGACTTTGTTTTCTTCTCTCTCACTCTGTTTTTTGATTTCTTGGCGGTTTACGTTAGTCAAAATGGGTTCAAGTAAGCTAAAACGCGCCATAGGAGCTGTGAAAGATCAGACAAGCGTAGGATTAGCCAAAGTTGGAGGTCGAAGCAGTTCTGTAACGGAACTCGAAGTAGCCATCGTGAAAGCGACGCGGCACGACGAATATCCAGCGGAAGAGAAATACGTCAGAGAGATCTTAAGCCTAACGTCTTACTCACGCAACTACGTTAACGCTTGTGTGACAATTCTCTCTAGACGTCTTAACAAGACCAAGAACTGGTCCGTTGCTCTCAAAACATTGATTTTGATCCAACGGTTGTTGACAGAAGGCGATCGAGCCTACGAGCTAGAGATCTTTTTTGCAACAAGACAAGGGACGAGGTTGCTTAATATGTCTGATTTCAGAGATGCGAATCGGCCTGATTCGTGGGATTACTCTGCTTTTGTTCGGACATATGCTCTCTATTTAGACGAACAGCTTGATTACCGGATGCAAGGAAGGAGAGGGAAACAC